TTTAGCGCTCAAACCGATGTCATTTGCGCTAGTTAAAGCCATTAAACGGCGATTAATGTTTCTTTTTTTTGTCGTCGTTGAGGGTTATGGTGGTTGTCGGAAAATTCCCGAATCGATTGCAAAGACAAGTCAATTTCTTTTGCGTATACATCACTGTTTTTAAAATCTAAGGCATAAACCAATTAGAGTAAACGGTATTACTAAATTAAATATTTAAAGGACCTTTAAAATTTTTTAGAAACTGGTTTCTTTAAAGTCTTTTAACCCATGCAGTGCAAAGCAGTTTTCTTTATAGATGCGAATATCCACAAGGACCACCTGGCCTGCCTGGAAGGGATGGAATGCCCGGGCCTGCTGGAGCTCCAGGAGCACCGGGATTGCCAGCGCGATTACCTTGTGAGCCGCCGATAGACCTCAAAAAGGCTTGCCCAGACCCTTGTCCGACAGGAGTCCAAGGGCCAGCTGGGGAACGGGTACGTTTAGCTAATGCTGGAAAAATTAGAGAAGATAATTAAGGGTGTTAAGGGTCCTCCAGGAGATAAGGGAATGCCCGGGATACCAGGAGAGCTTGGAAAACGAGGATTGGACGGGAAACTTGGTCCTAAGGGCGAGGTAAGCGAATAAAGTATCTATTTTCCATATTTTTAACTAAAATTTCCCCCATTTTAGACTGGTCCCCGCGGAATACCCGGCCTAGATGGAGAAGTTGGTGATCCAGGAGAGGATGCCGTGCCACAACCATTTATTCCCGGACCACCTGGCGAAGTAGGAGATGAGGGTCCTTTAGGGCCACCGGGTAAGAAGATGCTATGTAGATGTAAAGTTTTCTCAGAGACTGAGGATTTCTTTGCAGGTCCTGTGGGAATGCCTGGTATAGATGGGCCAATTGGGCCAGCAGGACCTAGAGGTCGAAAAGGTAAAGACGGCTTTCCTGGTGGTAAGGGAGAACCAGGTCCTGAAGGAGCTATGGGAGAACCGGGAGAAGACGGCGAAAAGGGGGTAAGACATGGGCAACCGTAAATTCCAAGATTATTTCTTAAGAAAATTAAAATTTTAGGTTTGTCCAACTTATTGTGCTACTGATGGCGGTGTGTTCTTCGTTCAACCACCTGATTGGTTCTTTAACGACTAAAGTCTGTGAAATGAGTTGACACATCTTCACAAATCTCATTGTACAGTATGCTTCACTAAGTCAGGTCGCTAACATTCCTATCATTGTGTGCGATA